TATATATGTATGTATGTATGTATGTATATGCGAATCGCATTAAGTTGAAAATATAATATCTGTCTGTATTCTATTATATATTACATTCTGTTTAGGAATTGCTCACATTGGAGCCAGAATCTGAAGCGGCTATTTCTTTAGAAATCCTTTCAAATAAGGGAACCATACCGCTGACTGCTTTCTCCAACTTTATAGCAACTCAAATATCTTCGAGCAAAGAGCAGACTATCGCACAAGTTCACGAACATCTTGGCACATTGGCAAAAGGGATGGTAAAAGAAGTAGGTGGAATTTTGAATTTAAAAATTTGTTTTATACAGAGATTTCTACAATTGTCGCGCACTGCATGTAGAAATTTTCTAAATTTAGGATATCTAAAAATTTTATTTAATAATAAATATTTGTTAAAGATTATTTCTATTTGAAACAGATTGCAGTTAACATTAGTTCAAATAGACAGTATTGTAATCTGTTTTGTCTGATTTATTTGAAATATATCCGCGACTTGTAGAATTCTTATTCTTTTTATGTTTATCTATTAGTGATATTCCTGCACAGCGTGATATGCCAATATTATCAATGATACAACAAAAATAGCATTTATTTGTTGTTTGTTGATAATAAAAGGAAATTTTCAATATAATTGAGATCAAGTTTACATTAAGTAAATAGACGGACATAATTTGCAAAATAAATTTTGCAGATTAAAATAATCTAATGTAAATATAAAAAAAGAAATGATATTTGACAAAGTATATGAAATAACAATTCATGTAAATAAGTTATTTATACATATTCTTAAAAGATGATATAAAAACTATTTCAATTTCTAATAATTCATGCATAGTTTGGAATGTATGGATGAAAAAATAAATGTTTCTATACTCTGTGAAAATTCCGAAATTATAGATGAGTAAAGATAAAGATTTATCAATATAAAAATTAAATAACCAAGAATATTATTTGTCATGATTGTCAATTGTACTTAATACAGCTTTTTATCGATTGAACAAAACTAATATCAGCTGTTTCTGTTTTCTAACATGAATGCATTTACGTGTCATATATGTAGTCTAAAAATATATAATTTAAATATACTTAAGCTTATTTAGCTTAAGGACTTGAAATGACATGTTCTGCGCGACAGGACGACGAAGTTTGGCGTAAAACATCGCGGCTGTCAATCGTGGGTCGTATTGAATGTCCATTTGTCAGTGCCTTCTTCCTAAACGGTAATTCCGACAGCGACGAACAAAATCGAACTTTCTATAACGAAGACAATGCCATTGTGGAATCTGCCTCATGTTCTCGATCGCCTGCAAATTGTATAGCTTAAACAGAATTATTAGGATTATCTAACAAAGAAAAACAAAAAAAAATGTTACCGCGACTTAAGAAAATGATTGCTAAGAATGTAAGAAGAAGGAAAAAAATCCTTCCGAAAAAGGCTATCCGACGTAAAAGAACAATTATCCGATATAATGACAACCAGCTGCATTAATCGAAATCGAAGATCGAACGGCTTCTGAAAAGATCAAGAGTCTTGGCGAAAGTCTTCCTGTTTACAAGATCACCACCTACGGCTCAATATGATTAGATACATTGTCGTCACTCTCGGTCAAATAAAGATTGATTTAATGAGGAACGTTCAACGACCAACGTCCACTTATAGTTTCGACATTATTATGTACATCCCACGTGTCCACAATGGAGAAAAATATTAGAGTCGCAGTTCTTATAATTGATATTCGGTATGAGAAAAGGGAATCGTGCGCCATTCGTGCGCGTTACATCAGCGAAACCCTCGACGATCGAAAATTGTTCAATCCGCACAAGTTCCGGGCCCCGCATCGTTTTCAATATCAGCTCCCGTTTAATGTGATGAGATATTGCGATACAGTACTTACTGCTTCGCTGTTACTAGCAGGATATCCGAAAACAGCCGCTACAAATAATATCGTTGTAAACAGGCACGCCACCAATCTTAATCCAGTCAGCTTCATTCTCAAGAAACCGGCTATTCTTCTGGCGAGACGCTTAAAGAGGTCCCGATTCTGGATTTCTCTCGATATCTTCCCAAGTCGGCTTTTTCTTCACAATCAAAATCTTCTCGAATAGCCTTCTCCTTCAATAAGCAAAGAATTTTAATTTAAATTTATTCGTCATAATTTTTCACAGAACTGTATTAACGGTAGTACCCAGCCTTTGTATCCAACATGAACGATGAGATCGATAAATCACCACGTTCAGACAATATAACAATGAGGATTGTATGCGGAAAATTATAGTCGGGTAATCTTTTTCGTGAAATAGTCGAGAGACAGCGGAAAAGATCTTTCACGTGTGTCCCAACGCTTCGCGAACGACTGGCTTTCAACAGAAGTCTCGCCATGATTTAATATAGAAACTCCCACCCTCTCACGGCGTTCTATTTGTCGTCCCTTTAGGACTACTGGACAACAGTTCGCAAACTTCGCTGGAAATCCTATGTCTCTCGCGTCACAGCTGTATCGCAAACTATATCTATAGCTTCGGCGCGCTGTAGAGCATCTATTCATTGTGTATTCTTATATGTATAGATTTTAACATTTTGCGAGACGATGAATGTTATCAGTCGTCTTGACTTTTCTTCGCGTGGGCGGAAAGTGGTCCGACAAATTGAACGGAGTGAGGCGGTTCGGTATTGGAAAAGGCAGATAAGGACGAATGCCGGTCGCTCGATGTAACGGATGCATCGCGTCCGTGTCGAATAATTAATCCGTTTCGAAAATAAACTTGTGAAATATCTCGTGCCGAGGAATTTATCGAAATTAGTTACACGCGGGACGTAACGTGTTATTCCACTGCTATCAGAGACGCGGACGCGTTTTAAAGGCAACATTGTCGCTATTCATTCCTGATGAAAACAAGGTATTCAGGATATATTTTCCTAATTTCAAGTGCATGTCATTGAATACGATTGACGATGAGCAAGAACTGGATCGTTGAATTCATTTTAATCTGTAATGAGGAGATTATAGAGGATATGTTTTACTTTAATTAAAGCATCTTGTTCAATATTGGGGAAATATTTCACACGTAACAAGATTAATATTACAAGATTAGTATAACAAAATTAGTATTTTATCTACATATTTTATTTAGATAAAAGTATAGGTCTACTTTCTCTTCCTCTTTTTTTTCCTTTTTTTTTTTTTTTTTTTTTTAAGTAAACGATGTATTTTTATAGCACGTATTCATATAGCATTTATAAGTATATAAGTGAATCTCGAATAATCTCTTGTTTGTAATTACTCAGATTTGAACATTTTTATTGACTTGGTCAACACGATTAAATATTTTTTGACATCACGCAAAAGATACATTATTAAAAGGATTGAAATAATTTAAAAACGCTTAAGTGACTCCATGCAGATAAACTTTAATCTCATAAAAAAATATCACTGATGATAAATGACATTATAAAAATAAAATTCGTATCTCGTTTTTGAAATATTTCGCCAACGTTGATTACACAATGAAACACCTTTCGCATAGCGAACGATGCCGCAGAATTGTCTCTGATTGCTTGCAAACGTAAAACCAGGCCAGTAGGAACAATGTCTTATCTTCTTCGACGACCGTCTCGACTGTTGCCATTGACACCTGCTAATAAAATGTCACAGCAGTATAGAACGTAAAATTTAGATCAATCTGTCTCGATCTGATATTGTGTTACCAATATTTTACGAGATTTCTTTAATTTTTTTTAACGATTATTAAAACTTTTCAATGTTTGTGTCTTATGATACATATTTTCACTGAAATTACAAAGTTCTTATTTTATTTTCTTATTCTCTTTCCATTCATATACAGGACATGTTATTATTTTAATATTCATTTCTATGCACACACTTCTGTGACGTTTTTCAAGTAATTATAGTCGTTAAAGTACACTCAAAAAAATGTCTTGCTGATATAGGTAGATTTCTAGGTGTCACAACAAAAATTTATCGCTATTTTTTGTATCTGTTAGAATATTGTCTGTTACATATAGAATTTATAGCAGCAACATTCTAATAATATCTTCTAGAAAATTTAGGTCCCATTGCCAAATGTTAATCACTGCATTGGATAAATATGAGTTTCGATACTACAGAACGATCTTTGTGAGAAATATAACTGCCAATTATAACTGCAGCATCGAAAAATTGAGAAAAATTGTTTAAAAGAGCTAGATAGATTGAGCGCGTTATACAAATATGTTAGACGTGAGGATTATATATTCATTTGTTTCTTGCCGCTAATTTTTTCTGTCTACCACAGCCAAACTTTATAACAAGTATGATTGGCCTTAACATGGATAGGCGCCACAGAAAAACATTCTTTCTAAATTTCACAAACAGTTCAGATATAAATTCTGTCTCTGTCACTTAGATTGATTAAATGCGAAACATATGCGATATCACAGTATTTGCTAATCATTTATGTACCTCAGTTAATTTTGCGCACCCAGAAAATTTTTGCTGTAGTTGCAATACCACTTTTTTGAGTGTATCATTCGCATTAAATAGAGATTGCGAGAGACTTAATTTTTTCTTGCGCGCTAAAAATAACACTTTTGCGCTGAAAATAGCGAGTAGGATGTCTTCTTTTCCACGTTTAACCTATTGTTAAAGCGCAAATATTCTACTAATGATCGCGTTACTACGAGAATAGAGGCGTAAGGAAAGACCAGACTTTATGCGTGCTTCTGGTAATTGTCTCAATTGTAATGATAATAAACTACACTCTCCGACCGTCCCGGTCGTTTTTCGCAATTTCGCGATTGTTATCGTCATACGGTTCCTTGAAATTTGACTGAAGTCTTTACATCGCATTCGCGTCATCCTAAAAGTGAGAAACGTAAAAATACATGATCCAGACGCATCAACAATATAATTGTTGTCGCGTCGTAAGAGATGAGATAAGAAGTGTTTACGTAGAATATAATTCTTGTGTGTGGTCTGATAAAGGAGATATTTATATTACGGTAATTCTACAATGTGTAGAATTTGTAAGTCTTATATTTTTTGAAAATATTTATTCATTCGAATGAAAATTTTTGATGGTGAATATGAACCTCGATGTGTTATTTTTACACTGCGAGACAAGATTAAAAGAGCAGACGTAGTTGCGAAATCATGGCAAAACTACTTATCTTTATGTGTTTTTTTTTTCTCAACATTGAATTAACGTATACAAATAAATTCTTTTCACATTCTTTCTCATATGTTTTGATCGATTTTACTACATTTTGATCGATACTTTTTGTCGAGTAAGCTCTTTTACTGAATCGAATTGAATTGAATATAATTTTAATAAAGTTAACTTTTGTAGCGAATTTAATTGTTTGTAACTTTTAATAAAATTATAATTTCTTTAAATCGCGAACGGATTTTTAAAAAATGATAACACAATCAGATCAGTGGTTTCTAAGAAAAAGATAAAGATCGAAAAACATGAAGAGTTTTTCCAAAACCTTTGACGCTTTTCTATATGTTCAACATTTTTTTAAGTATTATAGATATTATAGATATATCCAAAATCATTTTATATAGCTCAAAATGTGTTTAGAAAATTATTTACTTTTTCCTTAAAAGTAAAAAATTTTTATTTTTTAACCATTTTCAAGTGCATTTGATCTCTTAAAGTACATTTTGTATCTTAGCTATCTAGAGTAATATATATATTCGTTTGTCCTAAAACATACGTTACGGTGAATATTCGTGTGGGTTGCGACAGAGACGGATCAACCTAGATCTGAAGATCTGAAGTAGAAGATTACGGGAATTGCACAAATTTTCACTCGGAGATGTGTCGCGTCAGTCTTAAAACTAATTAGTCGACCGTCTATTCGAACGGTTATCGACCTTTATCAATATGCATCAGTATCTATGCATGAAGTTTTTTTCTTAACTGATAATTCTGAATCGAATCGGTTTCTATTTTGCTTATGCAAGTTTATTATCATTATTATCTTTTTTCTTTTTTCAGTTGCTCAGTGTATCGGCTCACACTTTGCCGCCGATGAAATTGCTATGCTCGTCATTCGTCTTGTCGTTGACGGGGCAACAATCGTCGAGAAACCGTTTAAGAAACGCCGAATGTTTTAGGTATATATAGGATTAACTCGACTGCAAATTACTTACGTTAAAGTTATCGTACTTAAACGCTTGCATGCAGCGTCATATGTCAACCTTCTCCTAATTTTTCAGAGACAGTGACGACGATTCAGCTCGAGATGATTTGTCGGATTTAAGTGATAACGAGATATCGCGGTTGACAAAACCCGCGGTCACACCAACCAACGAAGATGAGGACACGGACGAATTGAGCGTACAGCTTATCAATCACGACTGGTCCTTCCTATCCACTGTACTTCCCGATCAAGACAACATCGTCCATTGATCCATAGAAAGATCGCCATGTTACGATGAGATCCATAAACTGATCAATTCTCGAGACAAATGAGTTTTTTTCCTGTTAACTTGCTAATTGAAATACTACAAAGCGTTTCTACGAAATGAAAGGATTTAGAATGTGCGTAACAATCAATTGTATATATGTTACATGTTTGATTTTAAGACGGTTTCGGTAATTGATCTAGTCGCGAGGCGAGCTCAGCTACTTCGACGACGGCTTCGTTGATCCTTCTCTCGTAGACCGAGTCTTTCTTCATGTTCGACAAGACAAACTTCTTTCTATCTCGAAAATAGTATTCGGCGTAAGACGCCGAATCGTTCATGACTTGCGCGCCGAGATTCTCATCCATTAAAACCGTAGGGAAGTAGAGTACCGCGGTAATAAGGGCGCCCAAACGTTGTTCCTCCATACCCTCGACCACTTCTGACCAGGCGGGTTTTTGGGGCGTTTCGTGAGCGTTTAGGATCTCGCATAACGTCTCGTAATAATGCTGCAGCATCGCGTACTCCCGCGCTTCTCGGAAACTTCGGTCCGTGCACAGATACAAAAACTGCGCAATGTCATGCGCCAAGGGAGAATATCTCGACAGTTGATAATCTACTAGCAAACAATTGGGTGGCACGTCGTTATTGAACATAAGATTGTTGGCCCAGAGATCTCCGTGACTGACCACGTTCGTCTTCGTGCACGACGGCTCCGTAATGTCATATATCCGTTCGCAAACCGCGCGTACCAGATGGGGATCGCGTCCTTGACGTTCGGCTACGGCCGCGGCCACATCGAAGCCCGGTTCCAACCACATTCGCGTCATCTCGTCACGAGCAAAACCTTTCTCCGCGAAAGCGTCGGGATGCAATCGATTGAGGGGTACGTCGAGACGCGCCTCCGCCAACAAAGAGGCGGCGTGAAGCCGCGCGATAGCGCTTAAACCCGCGCGCACGAGCGTCTCGTCGAAAAGCTTATTTCGCGTCGAGTAACTCTTACGGCCCAACTCTTCGAATACCATCAAGTTGTTTGTCACCTTGTAGCACATTGGCGCCCATGGCTTTCCGCGGTATCCTTCGCGGAGCAACGGCATTATGATACCATAAAAATTGGTCTCATTCTCGAAGACGCCCTTCTTTATCACGTAATCGGCTTGCTCGGGCACTTCGTAAGGTATAGTCTTGAGAAAGAACGAGAGAGCGACGGTTTCCTCTTTCTTCGTCGAAGCTATTACCTCGAGACGATAATGAGAGCCGAGAAATCCGAGCTTGCCGTCGGAATACGGTCGAATAGCATATTCCATCACAGCGACGTCGTCATTCAATACGCGTTTCATTACTTCTTTCACTTCTTCAAATGAGAATAATTTGTAAATGCTATTATTACTCTTGATAACAGCATCAGTAATAGTCTTTGTTTCAAGACACGGTTTTATCTGTACGGTGATATTAGACATCCTTCTCCCGTAAATTATCACCGTATGCTGTCGAATAGAAGTAACTGGGACTAAGACGGAGCCTTCGTCTTTATATCCGTCATATTTGTCGACAATCCATCAAATTATCAATTTATTAACTGACTTAACTCGTCGCATGCATGCAACACGACATATTTCCATCAAAGTATTATCTGATAAAAGTTTTTGTACACATACATATATACGATGCAGTAATGTAGTGTCGTCAAGTGAAGCTACAAGTCTTTGAAAGATTCATGCAAAGTTATCTGCTTTATTGTATATTTTAATCGTAATAAAGGAGACGGAGAGATTGATCGTCAATATTTATAAGATTTTTTTTATCACGATGAACAAATAGTTAATACAGTATCTCAAAGAGACTGACAATGAGAATACTGACTCCCGTGAAAAGGCCGAAGACCGATGGAAACTATTGTAAAAAAGGCGACGTTATCCTACATGACACTTTTGTTAATATTAATTCAGATGGTATAATATATGGCGCGTATATAAGATGCAATTTCGCGTAATTTTACGCGAAATTAGAATTTTTTCTAAATTTAGAGTGTCATATTTTCACGACGATATTTGTAAAGATGTTAGAGATGATGGAGAATGTTAAAGATGTTAAAGAGGTGGTAAGACCTTTTTATAGTCGTACTAAATCTTGCGTTGTCAACGCATTACTCCGATAAGATATCGACGGTGTGATGTCAGCTCGAAAACCTGTCAGGGTTTGATCTAAAAATTTCCTTATATATCAAAAGCAAAATGATCCGAGCTGTGTAAGTTTTTGTCAACTTTTACCCTTAATGTATTAAAAAACAACTAAATATGAATATATGAGCCATTGCTATATAAATATATATTCATTAAAATTTTGAAGTGTAACAATAGCTTATTAAGTGTGTACGCGAGTAATGTATACATTAATAATTTTATAACTCTCACTCAATTTTTTGCTAGTGGAATTAATTAAATAACTATTAATATAATTCATTGCATATTATATACACATGTACCCATAAATTATGTAATAAGTGAATTAAGGCTATTAATCTGTAATTAATTAATAATTCATGGAAATGAGAACACACGTCACGGTTTTTAAATTCGTTTCAGGAACTTCTCGTTGACGAAGTTTAAACTTGCATCATATTAACAGTCGATAATGTCAGTAACAGTCGATAATGTCAGTAACAGTCAATAATGTTAGCAGCAATCGATAATGTAGCATACTTCGTAAAAGGTTCCCGATAATCAAATATGCGCATGCGTATAATATCACATCATATTTATTATTATATAATTAATTATATGTGTATACTCATCGCGATCACGAATTCGTTTAATTGACCAATTCACATCACGGATACGGACAAAATGTTTATTCATTTCGTGATTTGATCTTGATAATATAATACTGATATTTCGAGATGATTCCGGATATTAAATAGTTACGTATATACACACAAAAAGATCTGTAATAGATGGTCATTAAATTATTACTTGTGTACTTTTTCAGTACACATACTCAATATGTACTCAAGTGCGAGCGACACATGTAGACGCATGTTTGGAGAGCAAAATAATGTAAATAATTTTGGCTACATTGTTTTACCCATACAAAAATGAATTATGCTATTTTATATTTCCATAAAGTTAATCCTCTCTGTATTTCTATAGTTTTATAGAATTCGCTTTTATATATATCGTCATGCGTTTGGCAATGACACTTATTGCCTCGAATTATGCTAAAAATCATCATATTGTCGCAATTGTTTTAGAACGTTTAGAACTCGCGATTTCTGAAAAGAACCTTGACATATTACAAGCTTTTAATAGATAAACGCAAGAAAATTCAAGAGAGAAAATATGACCAGGAAAAATAAAATTTTTAATGTACCACCTGACAGTTCTTATTGAACTACTCTATTTTGTGTGTGTTCCTTTTAAGTACATTATCTACCTTCTTTTCTTCATAAGGCGTAAATGTATTGACCTTTTTTGAAAAATATTCTTTCCTTATTAAAAAAAAAAAAACGCTATTTGAACGGTAAAATAAAGAGAAAAAAATATCCTTTCAACATATAATGTTAAAAACATGCATTTATAATTTAGAAATCTTTAATCGGATAAATATTCTTACAATTAAAGAAATTGTCAAATATTAGTATCTAGTACTACTAACGTCATGAGAAGCTAAAGTATAAGGAATTCTCAAAGAGGGATCTTCACATTTTTCTGTAAATAAGTTTTTTAGCAAAGTTAATTTATCGCGAAAGTGACCGCTGCGTTTTTCTCCCAGATATTTCTCTAGTAATATTATTGTACAATCCGACAATTTCGTACATTTTGCACTACTAATAAAAATCGAAACAAAAGGTAACATATGTTAAACGAGTCATCATCTCCATCAATCAGAGTACAAATTAATTGTTAAAGTTTTCGCACATTTTTTAACACATAAAATTTCGCGTATGGTATTCAATCATCTTCTTACGAAGAAAATAATTGAGAGAAATTTACGAGAAGGAAGGAAAGGAGGAGGGGTGAGAGGTGGAAAGCAAGTCTGCGGGACTGTTTTATTTGGCTATCATGGGGGACGTCGTCATCGTCGTCGTCGTCGTCGCCGTCGCCGTCGTCGCCGTCGTCGTCGTCGTCATCGGCGGGGGGCTGTCTATTCATTGCCATCAGTTTCTCGGCGGCGCGCGCACTTCGAGTTGACGTTTGGTTCGCGTCCGCTCGAGCAGGAGTTTAGTGGCAGCTGTGCGTCCGCGTGTTTCGCCGAACTCTTCAAGCAGGTATTGCGCTCGTCCTTCTTTTCCGTCCTTGTTATTGTGTCAACCGTTGTTTGCCACCGGTACGCAAGTTCCGCCAAGACGGTATCGCTTTGTAATTTCTGCGCGATAAAAAGGGAGCGCGACGACAGGAGAAAGGACGCGCGCCCTCTGAACTCTGAACTTCGCCGCGAGGGGAACGAATCGCGCCAAAAGAGTGCCGAGTGTTGGGACGTTGGGAGGACAGTCGCGTCTCGCGTCTCGCGTCTCGTGTCGCGTGTCGCGTGTCGCGTGTCGCGATAACGCGGCTTCGAGGATACGCGTGAGGATACGCGTGAGGATACGCTGGTCTCAGGAAAGCAGAGCACTACGTATTCGTGTCGTGGCCGTCGACGATTACGAGTCCGATCATCGTTGTATATATGTATATTGCACGTACGTAGAAAAGCGCGGGATAATAAGACTTCTCGCGAGTGACAAGATTCGATTTCTCCTACTGTATACGCGGATCAAGATGGAACGCCGTTTAGTCGAGAGGTGATCCTTTCCTTCAAAGAACACCGTATAATTTTTGCAACATCATAGCTTTCGAATGTAAGTTAAAATCCTAGAAGATTCGGTGCGAAATATATTCTTCTAGCGATTTACACCTTGCCAATTTTTATCATCGCATTTCTATTATCGTTCAATGATATCGGTATTTATTTTAATAAGCGCGGTATATTATTGCAGAGTTTTTATTTTCATTTTTAACGATATCGCAAGTTTTGTTAATAAGTGTTGGCAACGCCGAATCATTTATGCCGCGAAATGCGAAATGCGTCCACTTGCGGCTTCCGGTCAGTCCGTCAGTTATCGCGCGATTTACCGCTCCGCGAAGCGGCAATTAACATATAGGATTTAAATACCAGCATCGATTTATCCGCGTCGGGAAACGTCAAGACAAGCAAAGTGTTTCGTTCATAAAACAGCCGACCGCCTCCCGCCTCCCGTGTATGTATAAGATATTACGTTTACGAGAGGCGTTCTAAAATAAACACACAAATTAGTCGAACGGTTAGAGAGGTTAGAAAGTTTACACTTGAGAGGGATCACCTGTCCCTCTTTCTCTCACGAATGTCTCCCGGCAATAATTAAAGTTTCGCAAAGTGCTTCGTTAGGCTCGTGTATACTCCATCGCCAAGTTTATAGCGAAGCTCGTAGAATCATCGCGCGGTGGTTGCGTCAACTAATATAACCGAAGAAGGTACGAGGGACGATCCATCGATCGATCGAGAAACGCGGAAATCGGGAATCGGAAATTGGGGATCTCCGTCCCGATGACGGCGATCGAACGCGATCCGGGTTGGGGCTGGGGTTGGGGCTGGGGCTGGGGCTGAAGCTG